ACACACACACACACACACACACACACACACACACACACACACACACAGACAGAGAGACACAGAGACACAGAGAGAGAGAGAGAGACAGAGATTCGTTTGATTCCCACAGCACAGGCTCCTTAAGGGAAGGTGAGATTCCTAACAGATAGTAGGGAGCAGCGGGGAGCTCTCTGCTGTGATGCCGTGGTGATGACGGTGATGGTAATGACAATGCACCGGATTTCCCTTGCTGGGTCAGGACCAGTTTCTGGGAAGCCCTCAGGCACCGGCGGCGGGTGGGCGGCGGCGATCGGCGTGGCAAATCCGCGCTCGCACCCCGGCCTGCGGGGCAGGGGCGCGGTGCTCGATTTCCTTCCCTGCCTCCGCAGGCCCTGTGCGCATGCTCGGCCTAAGCGGCCCCAGCCTTTGATTGATCGGTCGGCAGCGGCTGCGACCCTAGGCGGCTGACAGGCTGGGATGGGGAGCCCAGCGCTGGGAGCAGCGCAGTGAGCAGCGGCGGCGGCCGGTGAGTCCCGGTGAGTACCGCGGCATGGGGCTCCGCAAGAAGAACGCCAGGAACCCCCCGGTGTTGAGCCACGAATTCATTGTCCAGAACCACGCGGACATGGTCTCCTGCGTGGGCATGTTCTTCGTGCTGGGGCTCATGTTCGAGGGCACGGCCGAGATGTCGATTGTGTTCCTCACGCTGCAGCACGGAGTCGTTGTCCCCGCGGAAGAGCTGCCTTCGGGGTCCAGGACCCTGTACCATTATGGGGTCAAAGATCTGGCCACTGTGTTCTTCTACATGCTGGTGGCCATCATCATCCACGCCACCATTCAGGAGTATGTGCTGGATAAGATCAGCAAGAGACTGCAGCTCACCAAAGGCAAACAGAACAAACTGAACGAGGCCGGGCAGCTCAGTGTGTTCTACATAGTGTCCGGTGTCTGGGGCATGGTCATTCTGGCCTCTGAGAACTGCCTGTCCGACCCCACTCTGCTGTGGAAGTCTCATCCGCACAACATGATGACATTCCAGATGAAGTTTTTCTACATCTCGCAGTTGGCTTACTGGTTCCACGGTTTCCCCGAGCTCTACTTCCAGAAGGTCAGGAAGCAAGACCTCCCCGGCCAGCTCATCTTCATCGGCCTCCACCTCTTCCACATTGGGGGCGCCTACCTCCTGTACCTGAACCACCTGGGCCTACTGCTGCTGCTGCTGCACTACTCGGTCGAGCTCCTCTCCAACATATGCAGCCTGCTCTACTTTGGGGACGAGCGGTACCAGAAAGGGTTGTCCCTGTGGCCCGTCGTGTTCATATCAGGGAGGCTGGTGACACTGATTGTCTCCGTGGTCACAGTAGGGCTTCACTTGGCTGGGTCGCAGAATCGCAACGCTAACGCCCTGTCCGGGAACGTCAATGTGCTGGCAGCTAAAATCGCCGTCCTGTCCTCGAGTTGCAGTATCCAGGTGTACATAACATGGACCTTGACGACAGTCTGGCTTCAGAGGTGGTTAGAAGACGCGAGCCTTCACGCCGCGGGGCGCAGACGAAGACCCAGGTCGCGAAAAGGCACAGAAAATGGAGTGGAGAATCCAAATAAAATCGATTCTCCACCAAAGAAGAAAGAGAAAGCTCCGTAGGGAGTTGCAAGCTGATCGATTCTTACCTCCAAGGCAGTCCACTCCCTTACTACGTGGTGTCTCTGTGCTAGAGATTTTCTGTTCTTCAGAACGGGTTGTGCTCTTTGAATATTGCTATTGTATTGTCTAACGTGTTTTAAAGGTCTTTCAGCCTTATGAGTGGGGAAAAAACTAAGACTGAGCCACTCATCTTCTAAATAATGGCAGAAGAGTTAACAGACCAACATCATGTTTAGTTTAGACCCTTACCTCGCGGATTTCCCAAATGTTCTGTGAAGATGACTGCAGACTTGTGTGCATAAGTAATGCAGTATCCTGCTTCCAATGTGTTCTTTATGGCGTTAACAGGATTGGTGGAAAAGTCCTTTTTCTGAATGTTCTCTTGCAGGATAAAGTGGAAAATTTGATGAAGGTGGAACTCAACTCAGCATTATGTGATTGTTGGGAATTTCTGATTGTTTTAAATTTACAACAAAATATTTGTCAAACCAACAGGATAATCGTGTGTTGAATTTTATAAGTAGTGGTTGTTAGTGCTAAACCCCCATTAAAGTATCAAAATACGAATAAATGACATGTGCGGTGATACTGACATCTACTGAATCAAAGTACCTTTAATAAATATGACGGATTAATGAAGAGGTTAACTTGTTCCTGTCTGTTTTAAACACGTATAAATGAAAAAAAATCACAAAATTAAATATTACTGAAAAATCATATTTATGCTTAATATTTATTAAAAATTCTTCTTGCAGATTCATAAATTTGGTGAACACTGTTTCAGAAGAATATTATTTAATATGTAAACAGTTTTTTAAAATAACACAATGTATAAACAGTGTATGTATATACATACATATGTAATATACATATACATATATACATATATAAATGTATATATATACATACACTGTATGTGATATAATATATATGTGTGTGTGTGCGTGCATATGTGTGTGTGCAGCTAGTTATATTTGGGGAATATCTGACATTTTAAACTTCATTTAAAGATGAAGCAGTCAAATAAGTTTATAGGATTTTATAATGATTTTGTTATTGTACCTTTACTTCCATCCTTAATTGGGAAACATCTATATATGGCGATCTTTGTTGATCACACATACGTACATATGTATATATTTGTATCTTTACAGAAGCTAATACAAACAATGGCTGTGAGGTAAATGTGTCCGGCTCAATCCCCATGCTGATTTAATTTCCATGGTGTTGGTGTTTTGTCTTTTCAAGGCTATAATAACTGACAGCACACTGGGTTAAACCTGTGTTTCCTGAATTTCCTGTTCTTCTACAGTTTCTTCTCAAGTCTCTCATCTCTGCTTGTGATAGTCTCCTCTTAGACGCATTAATGATTCGGCTTTTCCACAAGGTGAGGTTCCTAAAACTTTATCCTTATCTAGCAGACCACAGACTGAAAACCCAGGAAAAAGAATCTTTCAACTCTGTCTTCTTTGAAAGGTAAGTAAAAAGATTTCTTTCTTTCTTGATATAGAGGTGGTTTTCCTCTACCTCCTTTTTCTCCTTTGCCCAATGAGGCTGTTAGTCCGTGCTCTGAACTGTAAAGCCGTACACACTCAATCAAGTGGTGTGCAGTTGTAAAGCCAAATTTCAGCTTTTAATATGGCTTAGAACTCTGTTTCCTTACCTCTAAGCATTTGAACTGTTATTTGCAATCAAACTCACAATAACAAGTGTCTCATCTATTAGGCGTTAACTTGCAAATAATCCATGCAAATCTACCTGAAATTGCTGTAAGGTCCCAGGACAACTTCCATTTCATGTGACTGGTGAGTTATCATGGATTTGGCAATAAGTTTGATTAGGATCTGCATTTATTTCTGTGAGCTTCTCTTAATTAAACTTCCAACATGGCATCCACTGAATCCCTATGCCTGGTTTGATTTCTTCAGTGTTATGTTGAGAAACCTAAAATCCTAGAGCCAAGCTCTTCAGTAACTTCACGGGCAAGGATTCTCGGAGGGTGATTGACTTCAGCTATGCTTTTTGCATCATTGGTGGAAAAGGCAAACTACTTTCTTACAAAATAGAAGTTCACAAGAAACAACGGTTTGATGAAAAGTTGGAAAGATTCTAGATCTGTCTCTTAGTAAGTTCGGTAAATAATGTCAGAAAATAAGTGTGTGCCAATAAAATATAAAATAAATATTGCAAATTCAATTCAGCTTGGTATGAATTGTCTCTTTAAAATATTCTCAAGAAAAGCATGGCTCAAGGCACTACTAAGGGCAGTCTGGCATAGTTAATCATAGGAAATCTCGAATTTGTCTTTAGAGACTGCAAAAGTCTTAAGATATGTCTCAGAATAGAATCCAAAGTTCTGCTCTGAGGCCTCAGCTTCCGTGTTTTTCAAACTTGTTGCTTAAATAAGACTATACAATGTAGGTGTCCTGGGATAGATTCCAAACATACTTTATATTTAAAATACGCATCTACTAGCATTTAAGTAAAGTTGGCACCATTTTTTTTTTTAACAAAAAATAAGGGTGTGTCATTGCCTTGTAAGGGACAGACAAACATTGGGTGTCTCCATCCCAGGGTGGTAAGTATAACTCCATTTCAATTCACAAAGGAAAGAGTAACCTGGAAAACATAACTTCATTCATCTTGGTTTAATCTTATGAGAATGCTGCCTAGCCAGTACCATCTATTTTTGGCCTACATCCAAGAAGATTCCAATTATCATATTAATAATTAAAAACCATTTTAAGAGTAAAATATCCCGATTGCCTTTTCATTTGGAGAACAGGAGTACAGTTTCCACTTCTTGTTCAACTGGATTGAAAATCATTTACATCAGGCAAAGGCATTTTCCTAGTGCTTTGCATAGGAAATCCTCTATTGGCATAGGTATTTGTGTGCGAGCATGTGTGTGTGGTTGTGTGTGTATGGGTGTGTGTGTTGGATACACTTGTACATGTTTGGTATATCTGTATTCCTCCATGTGTGCCAAAGTGTGCCTGGAGGTCAAAGGGCACCCCTAGGTCCTCACCTCCTGCCTGGTTTGAAGCAGGGTTCCTATGTTGTTTGCTGCTGATGGCCGTTGAGTGTCTGAAGATTCTCCTGGCTGCGCCTCTCAACTCAGGAGCACTGGGATTGCAAGCATGCTCTGTTGCACCTGGATGTACTTGGGACTTGATTTGAACTCAGGTTCTCATACTTGTGCTACAAGTGCTTTACCCACGAATGATTGAGGCTTCTTTCCAATCCTCAGAAATAGTTGGAGAAGAAATTGTTTAGGGGAAGTATGCTTGAGAAGCATGAGGATTATATGAATTAAACTGGGACTTGGATTTGAATCCTTGCTTTATTTAAGAGCTTTCCTTCTATTTGCAGATAAGACATCTTTCGGCAACATGGAGGGAGGGAGAAGAAGAGGGAGAGGGAAAGCTATGACTTGTTCGCTGTATAGAATAGACAACTTTTGCTGACTAGATGGAGATGCTGGGCTTTTACACCATCAGACCAGGTGTCGTGCTATTTAAGAGCCTCAGCTCCTGAATTTCTCCGGACTTAGACATATTTATTTTTCCTTTCAGTTTTCCATCAAATTTAACCTCTCTAAAGCACTATCCACACAGAACTGAGTAGTTCTTGACAGTTTCCCTTAATTGTATGTGAAGATTGTTAAAAACCCCTCCTGCAAATTCGGGAAGGCATTTCTGAAATACAAAATTGGAATCAGTCAATTGACAGTCTTAAGTTTTTCCATTTAAGTCTTTATAAGGAATCTGGTCTTAGTTCCTGTGACATCATTGACACTTGAAGTATTCAATTAGTATGCAACATGCCAAACATTAGGAATTCTGAAGCTCTTCTCTATACTGTTCTGTATGGTGTCAGCAGTCAGCAGCATTGTGTTTTATGCTATTACATCATGTCACTAACATATTCCATTCCTAAGTCTCAAAAATATGTTGAAATGTAACGTGAATTTTTCAGGGATATTTACTGAGCTGGGGCTATTTCAGTGGAATCCAGTATCTAGTTGTATAAGTTTAAAATGAAGAAAACTGACTTTACACCCATGATGTATGCAAGTTTGAGCAAGCCTAAGAGGGACTTGTGCTGCAGACATGGGACAGAGTCAATGAGTAATCCAGGCACAGTATGAATGATAAGCTAAAGACTAGTCAATAGTCTCAATTCTACCACTAGCAAATTATATCAGTGACCAGAATGAGGCACTTGGGAAAGCACAAATTTCTCTGAAATTACTTCTTTTTTAATCCCTGTTGATAAATTAACACAAAATCAATTTCCTCTTACTTCAACCTTAAACAGTCTGTGTCATTTTCTTTGTGTGTTTCGGCACATAAACTTGTTCATATATTCAGATATTTGTTAGAGGCATGGATGCATCTTGTCCAGTTCACTATTTCACTTTACTGTCCGCCATGTAAGTACATCTTTGATTACATTTACATATCAGTATAGTGTACATATTTATAGACTTTGTGAAATCTGAGATTTATTCACGATATTGGGCTTTTCTCTCAAGGCAATTTCATGATCACAATAAAAGTGATTGTAAGTGAGTTAAAAAAAATGTCTTCCTTGTTAAGATAGACACAACCTTCTCAACTATTGTTAGTGGCAACAGTAAGATAGATTTTAAAAAAAAAGCAATAAAACTACAATGACCCATTATTGTTATCCAGACTCCATATTTCATGTCAGGGCTAGTACAAGTCCTCGAAGATTCTGTGAAATTTGACAAATTGTAAAAGTAATTTGCTGTTCTAGTATTACAGATTTGTATTCATTAAGTTTTATGATGTCCCACCCATCACTACAGATGGGTGTTAGAATGGTAGACATGTCTTTAGGTTGTATTCTGAGGTCAGTGTTAGTGAAATGATGGGGTTGACAGGCCTGTTGGTACAGATTGAGCAAGGACTGGGTTAGGATACGGTCCATGCTGAGATGGAACAAGTATGTGCTCTACTAGCACTGCTGTAAAGCGGAGTGGAGAAATGGTTAAAAATAAAAAGAATATGTATTCCTTTCCCCCCTTTAAAATACAAGAAGAACATGCCGCCACTTCCCTTGCCGCGATTGTTTTAGGGTTGGAAAGATCAGGTGGTATTTGTGCACTGACATCCTGAAATGACACCTGACAAGGAAAGGGTATCAACTGCAGGTGGAGGCAGCATGGCATGAATCCGGTGAAAAATCCATGACATGGATTGTTGGCACGACAAAAGCATTGTGCGTATATGATTGACTCATGTGTATGTGTTCATATGTGTGGGTGTGCATCTGTTCTTTTTGCATATCATGAGCTTGTGTGTGCTCACGTGTTGGATCCATGTGCTCATGTGGGCATCTGTATGTGGGGATCAGGAGTTGACATCGGATTTATTTCTCACTCTCTATCATATTTTTTCTTTTATTATTATTATTATTTTTTATTGTACCTGGTCTTTTATTGAACCTGGAGATTACTGACTGGTCAAGATGAATTGGCCCATAGGCTCCAGTGGTCCTTCTGTCTCTGTCTCTCTAGCACTGGCATTACTGATGTATACTAATACAGCTGGCTTTTTAATCTTGTTGCTGGGGAACCTGACCTCAGGTCTCCATGTTTATGGAGAAAGCAATTTACTAACTGATCTTCTTGCCAGC